TATCGCAAATCGAATCGCAATATCTGTCAGAAAAATCGCAATTAGATTATTTCCCCAAATCGTGCAGCCCTAATGTCTAATGCTTTGGAATTAATGTTTTTATTTGGTTGCATAATATATTGATGAACCATTGCATGGGCGTTGTGACTCACTGCGTTCAGACTGAAGGGAGATTCAGTCATCGTGACCTTTTTCATGGTCGGTTCCTTTTTCCATGAAACAGCATGAGCCGAGACCAAAAGCCGAAAGCAAGGCCGTTTCCACTTAATCTGAATCATGCATGACGTCATGCAAATGATTAAAATTAAAATGTGATAAATTGATTTGCTTACAGTGTGTGTAATAGCAGTTGGCTCATACATAATGTAAACACCAAGAATGGTATACAATTAAAAACATGTTTTTGATAATTCTTCCAAATTGTTAAATGTAACATTTTTATTTATTTTTTATTAGACTTTAAGAAACAGACATTTAAAGCCAGTAAAAAAAAATGATTAGTGTATAATGTAAACTAGTTGAAGAGATGCCACTACCATTCTGGAAATGATCTACTGAGATCAGAAAGAGAGACGGAGTAAAAATACAATCAGAACCCGAGGAAAGACAAGACTTTTGAAATATGACCTTGAAGAATGAACAAGGGCATTACTATTAAACTAGCAGTGTAACTGTTGTATTCCGCAGAGCCCCGGGATTCTCTCTGCCATGCTAAATCCAACCGCCCTTAATAAACTAACCAGTACATTTAGGTTGATTAATTGATTAGTTGATCGACAGAAAAATAATCACCAACTATTTGTTAAGTAATGGACTGACAAACACAAGACATGTTGAGACATGACCTTGGACTTTGAAACACTGACATAGACATTTTTAATTGTAAATAATGTATAATCCAATAAATATATATCATGCAGATTCATAGATAATATAAATGATTGTTAGTTGCAGCCCTACTGAAACCCTAAATGACAAATGTGTACAGCATCTTTTGCTTCCACACAATCACGTAAATTAGCCCCTCCTGGAACAAGACTATAACGCATTCAGGATTACCAAATGTGTGTTAATCTTACATTTAAGGATAGGTATATCACAATCCTGTGCCAGACCCAAGAAGGCAGAGGTGGAGAGATAATCAAAGAGAGAAGAACGGGATCAAGAGAGTAGGTTGAGAATGAAACTACGGGTGTTGGCGAGGAAAAGGGATGACAAAGGGTTAGCTAATTACAGTAACCATGTTGAATCAAATATTTTATTTAGCCAATGCTCTCACACGAGGAGACCATTCAGTAGGCCTGCAAATTTAGCCTGGAAAGTAATTACACATCGGTTCCTTCTCGTACGGGAATTAGGAATACATTGTAATTATGCCTCACTGCAAAATGTCTCCATCCAGGAAATAAAGCCATTATCAGGTCTTGAATTATATTGTAACCAAAAGAGCAATTTGTAAAGAGATATTAGCCTCTTTTGAATGTTATAAAAGAGAGAATCCCTCTTGCCCAGTGCTCATCTCTCTCTCGCTGTCGAGGCTTAAGTCCCTCAGTGGTAAGTGATGGAAAGGACACAATTGGCTACTTTCGGGACAATTACTTATTTGAAATTCAAACAACCCTTCACAGCCATCGAAGCACGTTTGAGAAGACGGAAGACAAGAGGAGTCTCTTTCATCCGACTAAACGTCTTAGAGGTGAGCCTCAGCTCTCACATTCAACAACAACAGAGGCAGAACCGGCACCACTCAAAGGACCGTAATGGAGTCAGTTTCTGCATTTGTCTTTGAAAAACAATATGTTTATGCTAATGCTCTGAGGCTGAATTTAATAGAGGATGTAAGTGACACTCTTTGAGATGAAACACATGCACACGCAGGCACATGTGCACAATCAACAATCTGTTGAGTTAGGTCAACAAACATCATAGAGACAAGACAATGGCCTGCTTCTATATTTCATAAAACAAAATGTATTGTTTCAATGTATTTTTTTCAAAATACTGCAATGACATTTTAGCATCAGTTAATATACATTTGTTTACAGCACCTATGTGGAGTCAATCAATAACCTTAAATAATGTCATATATAGACTGTATCAAAACATGTCTTGTACCTTGCCATAAGGAACAAACACATATCATTTAAACTACTTGTACCAGAGCAGAGGATGCAGAAAGTTGGCAAGTTGAGGATGTATTTTTGAGCAACTGTGTGCTTGCCTAATCCCCATCTTCTTCTTCCCAACAGGCAGCAAGGAAAATTAATCTGAAACCTACTGTGCTCAGAGGCGTTTGCAGCTGAGACATCTTTCCTTTCTCACACTGCCAGTGGCACTTTGGAAACACTCACCATCTCAGCACTCCCATCAGCATGTGCATCTGAAATTTGCCACGTTCAGCAGGACAAATCCCAAAGCACAAAGACCCGTGCACACGGACACATACACATGCATGCACACCAACAACCAGCCCAAAACAGCATAGCAATTCAAAGGTCTCAGTAGTACCCCTTTGCTTTTCTGATAATAAAAGAGTCCTTGGCTGCTTTTTCACTTCCAATCTCTCTGCACCGGAAATGTCATGAAATGCAGCCCTAAAACCGACCCCTGGTGTGATATGGAATAACCTGCAGAGAACATCAACTGTTGAATTTGATGTTCAATGCAGTGGCTCTTTCCGGTAAGTGAAAATGTAAATAGCTGAAAATTGAAATGATTTGCATGCATTCACTCTCTGCATGCAAAAATACATACAAACCCGGACACACACGCACGCAGACACAAATACACAAGTGCAAAGCAGCCCAATGGGCAGGCGGATAATGGAAGAAGACTCTGTAAATCCCATATGTGCTTAATCCGGACACTTACAAGAGAGTGTGATTCATACTCTATTACACTCAACTAATACAGCCGAGAGACGCACAGGGCACAATCATTTCGGCAGGCATGAACCAACAAAATAACACCCATGAATCCTCTTTATGGGGACTCCACTGAAGAGGGTGTGAAAGGTCGGGGATAAAGCCTTTGTACTTATTAGCCATTAAAACATTGGTGCCACACCCACAGCATGTGTGTGTATTTGTTTTTGTGCATTTCTGTGTGTGTGTGACTGTGTGCAAAAATGAAAGGGCTTGTATCTGTTTAATGGAAGGAATTTCTCTGCAGCACACTGCAGATCTACAGTATATATATAGTGTATATAAGTGTTGAGAGAGAGCTTGGTGTCTTTTCTGCAGATCACTTTATTCTCTTAGGAAGTGGGTTTTGAGGTGGATGAGGTTGTTAATTGTATATAATATATAACAACTTCTTTAGTTAATTTATCATACTTTATATTAAAGGGGCCCCATTGTGCTTTTTATTTTATTTTCTCTTTCGTGTAGTGTGGCTAAACTCCCTGTGTTCCCTGTCTCTCTCCAAAATGACCCCTGTCACGGCCCGTCCACACAGCGGCTTTGGAAAAAGCTTGCCGGCGGGCGTGTCTGAAGCTCGACCAACAACAAATCACATGAATCTCCCGCCCCTGAGACACAAGCAGCGGTTTGATTGGCTAGAGCTTGTACTGGCATATGATTTGATTGGCTGACGCTTCCACCGAAAATTTCAGAAGCTTCAAAAGTTGAACATTGCTCAACTTTTGAAGCCTGAGATGCCTGGAAAGCTCCGCTCGGCTTCCCACAATGCAGTTCGGCGAAAAGTGAGGCAAAGTGACGTCACCCCATTCAAAGTGAATGGGCAGAAGCGTTGGAAGATTTTTTTACCGCTGCTGTGTGGACGTACCGTCAGGGTCATTTTAGCTTAATTAGTGTTGCATTGGTTCATATTGCAAAGTGTTGTAAATGAACACATTTGAACTATCTAATTGAGTAAACCCATTTAGCCTGTCTCATTAATTTTTATATCATTTGAAATTGAGTCAGATTGGTCAGGGTCCACTATTGTGGCTCTCCCCTTTGAAAACCTAACATCCATTGTTCCTATTTTTTGGCTACAAAATCCCACTTGAGTGTGCTAACCGCATTATGCTGTCTTCATTAGTGTGAAAAATACACCACCACAAGCAAGGTAGAGTCCAATGCCAAATCACTGTTTATCCTGCACTACAAATTGTGAACTTATATGAAACCCATTTAATGCTCTCACACCATCAGTTACACACAAGGCCATTATGCTGTACCATCCAAGGCTTAGGTGATTAGCTTTGTTCTTTTAGCTAAATTCGTATTCATACTGCACTGTGTGCTTGAGGCAGTACGAGATAAGTACTGAAGGATTGCAGTGAAGGGCACTTGCACAACGTGGTGAATGGTTGACTTTGAGAGTATTTTGTCTGTTTCTGATCTTCTAACTTGATTTTAACAATAATATTAAACTTTTCAGTCGTTTTTTACTCAGATAGAAAATGATAGAAAACCTAGTTTGATCCACCAATGTCTTTCTATGGGATGATGTCAACATGCTCCAAGGCTTTCCCTGATCATGAGAAGGATATAAATCAATAAGAGCAATAACAAAAGCTTTGCAGCAATCTACAGTCGCCTGCTCCTTGATCTTAAAATCCAAAGAAAGTCAAATGGACGGCACACCTACAGACAAACCAAGAAGCAAACTAAACAACAGAAAGCACTCAAACTGTTAATGGTAGGTGATGTGTGTAAGGTTGATGGATCAAGTGAACAATAATAGTAGCTATATACAGTCCATCCCAAGAGTTTGCCTCTTTTTCTATATACCTTCAACAAACTTGCTGTTAAAAGGGAGCACAGCCAGGAAAACACAGACACAGATGCTATGACACAACAAAAAAAGCGGCTTATTCAGGTGACAAACACAGGGGAACACAAGGAGCTTTTCAGGTTGCTTTCCAGCCTAAAATAAAACCTGTTTTTGTGTGTTTTGTGCATTTCTCAACTACCACACGCCTTACTCGGGAATACTTTGTAAGACTGCATCTGTTGTGCGGCTGCTGCTGTCTGTCAAACTCCCAAACGTACCTTTCTTGTCTCCAAAGAAGAGGGTCTGCTGTGCTGGGTTTGACCACTGGAGGGAGGTGTTGTCATTATACTCCACACGGCAGGTCATGTTCACCGTCCCACCCTCCGTCACCGTCATATTCTGAACCAGAGGGTACTGACCGCTGATGCCTGTAACATGACACATAGGAGAAAAGCGTAAGAGGAGATGAGGATGCATCAGGAGGAAGAGAGAGCGAGAGCGTCACTGTGGTAGAGAGAGGGAAACAGATGGTAGATTTGGGATTGCTTGATTTGTAGGGTTGCTTTGTTAATCAAATGTGCTTTAAATACATTTCTGATGATCCAATGAAGTTAAAAATGATGACGGTAAACTAAAAAGTAATGTGTTTTTACCCAGAGTGTTTTTAAAATATCTAAATAAATGAAAAAATGGTTTCTATCACTGGAGGAGCAATTCAGCTCCTCTGAATACAGGACTAAGACAGGAGGTCTAGTTAATGTCTTTGCAAAACCCCTACCATCCTTATTAAAAAGCTAATGTTCAGCCAGGATACTATACTGTGTCACTACTGTGTGCTAAATTGGACCCTAACATAGGACACAAAGGGGGCGTTTAGCCAGCGGTACCATCCCTGAAACCTCAGCTACACAGGGAAGACCAATTAAAAAACATTCTCAGTGGACTTGTGTGTGCACATGTGGGTTTGTGTGGGTGTAAGGCCTGCATCCAATGAGGGAAACAGAAAGATAAACACAGTTATATAATTGGGTGTGACCTCGAACTCCGAGTAGAGCTAGTTTTTAGCATCATGGACACGTCGCTTTTTGCAATTGGTTTGTCAATAGCAACCTGGCAGTTTTCAGGACAGCTCACATATGTGTGTGTGTGTGTGTGCTTCAGTTCATGGATGTGTGTGTGTGTGAGAATGGCTGTGAGCAAGTAAATAATAATAACCATCAATCTATCCCTGTCCCTATACCCAGAGGACAAGTTTTAAAGAGTGTGTGAGTAAAGGCTTAGGTAAGAAAGATTATTCATCCCAAGCTAACTTTCTCGTCGTATACCAAGACCCCCCAGGATGGGATCATAAAGCAAAGAAAAGAAAAGAAAAATAATCATACATTGAAAAAGAAAAAAAAATCTCAAATCCATTCCTGTCTGATCTGTTTAATACCTTTCCATTCAAATACTGCCAATGTATTAGATCTCATTCAGCAGGCACATTGTGACGTCTCCCTCACTTCAGTTAATGACTGCACAGGTAAGATAAACAAACCCTTAAATAGCGCTTGCCTGCAGACAAAGCAGGTGAGGCAAACCCCACCACTGACAGACCTGCGGTGAAGGACGTGTTGAGAGGAGAGAGAGTGAGGTGAAGGAGGGGAGGAGAGGAAGGGAGAGGCAAGTCAAGGAGCATGGGTCATTTCCAGTGTTGATTAAGGCCTCCCGAGGTTAATCATGCGTGTGAGAGATAGAGAGGGAAGAGCAGGCAAACGGAGGAAAAATGGATCTGAGCAATGGGAGGCTAGGAAAATGTTTTATTCATGAAAGTTTTGCATGAGGCATGATCTGCCAACGGTTTACCGTTCTCCTGCGCCTGCCCTCGCTCTCTTTATTACTTCCTCTCTTTAAATCACTTACTTTTTTCTCATTTTTCTCACTCACGCAGTTGGGCGACATGCAGCCCACTGTGAAACATTTTATTCCCTTTGTGCTGGTCACAAAGGGAATTTAATGGTTAGCTGCCATACCCAATGGTGGAAATGATGATTTTTTTTGTGTGGGTTCTGAACAATATGATGCAGTGTATCATTTTAGTTCATGACTGCAACATGTTATTGAAAATGGATACATTCTGGGGTTATTATGGCTTGTTGTATTGCCAATCCTGTACTCATCCCTGAATATATAATCTTCTAATTAAATATCAAAATGATATAATTCAAAGAACAACAACAAGAAAATATGACATTTAGGTGATTCAATGTTACACCAAAGGCTTATTTATGCCCCTTTGGAAAACAGATGCTTCCAGATGTTTAACCATCTAGATTGTCTTTGAAACAAAAATATTACGCCAACATTTAAATTGTAAATAAATATATGTAATGATTTATAGCACATATTATGATGTAGATATGTCAACAATATCTCTTCCGTTTTCTCACAGTTGAAGTTGTGGTACTGCAGACAGAATGAGATCACTGCTATGTGCACTACAGGTGACACATATTTTAGCATCCATTAAATCAAACTATACGTTTACATAATAATAACTTCTTGATGTGTTCTCCTCTCCCCTCACTGGCACTTGTCCCTACACAGAGTTACAATAGTCCGGGGATCCCGCTGAAACACCTCCATTGGGACTGAAAGGGCCAAAGGGGCCACCATGATGGTTATATTAGAACAGTGCAGTGCTCTGTGTGCCTAATTGGCCAATGGAGTAGGTTCTCCCATTCTCCCCTCTGGCCACCCAGACCTGATTTAAATGTATCTCCTGAGGGAAAGAGGCAGCTGTTCTCTTCTGATTTCCATGTCTATATTTAGGTCCTTCCCTCACTTCACCTCCACGCTTTCTCCTACTTTCAGTTCCTTGCTCTCTTTTCCAGTTCACATCCATTCTACTCAATTCCCTTTTCTTTATTCCTCTTTCTCTCTCTGTGGCACGTTTCCTGCTTTAGTTGATCCCTGAAGGGTGGCATTTCCACTTTCTTTGTCTCTGATTTTCATAGTATCTCTGGCTCCATAGTCTTTCCCATTTATCTTGATCCTACCTCCTTTCTTGTGCTTAATTTGGCCCTATCTCTCATGGAGAGTGAGGTCAGTTTAATTGCCCTCCACTTTGACTGACATGCCAAGCCTAAGCCGGGTCAACAACGTCCTCCTGTGCATGGCATTATGAGGTAATGACAAAATGAAATTGGCTTTGCTTTATTAGGTTTAATTTGATCGTATATGAGTCACCGTTAATGGCATATGCTATAGAGCAATGCAAAGCTTCATTTTCTAGGATGATGACCATTGCCATGTGGGTCACAGCTGCCTTGAAACATATTATTTCCTCTAAATTGTCACACTTTATTCTTCACACACCTGTCTCTGTAGATCTGAATCTTCGATTTAATGGGACCACTCGGTACCCTCCTATACCCAGTGTATAAACTGGCTAATAATCAAGGCTGGCAGCAAAGCTTCCCCACAATCCTTTGGACTTGTGCCTCTCTGCACACAAAGAACTGAATCCAATAGTTTTCAACAGACCAATATATTACTTATGCCAAAATCAGATGCCTGTGCTGCCAGTAGAGATCTTCACAGAGGCGCACTCAGACAGTACCTGTTGCCAAAGCTAACTACCGGACAAATAATACCGATAACAGTATACCGGATGCTTCCTGTCTGCGATCCGACATGACCTTTCAAGCAAGAGCAGCGGAGTCTACTAACCTTTCTTATTTAGGCATTCAAGAAGCAGAGAAAAAGAGAGAAATGCAGGCAGACAGACGGACAGCCTGGAGCTACTGACCTTTAAACCAGGACTGGAGCTCAACTGAGCTGTAGAGCTATGATGTATGGGCCGGGAATGCAGGATTACTAAATGGATCGAGGCGGTGCACAGTTCTGATTAGACGATTCACCTTTTAAGCCAGTCAAACATCAACCTTATAAGTGCAGTCTCGGGATTTCATCACTGTACATTTGAATGAAAAGGATTACGCTTGTTTTCAACCTGCCATAATTTCAATCGGATATGAAATCACCAAAGAAATCTCAGAGATCTGGGAACACAGTGATGTGGATGTATTGTTGCAAAAGCTCAGAGTGCTAAGAAAGTCAGGCAGGTTGTAATAAAGTCAACAGTAGGTAATCCAGAAAGTAAATCTTACTTATAGTGCTTTATGTCATTACCTGCACCACAGTTTGTACGTTTGTTTGTTTGTTGGCTTGTTTTGTTGTTTGTCAGCATGTACGAAACAACAACTTCTGGCTCGATGTCAGGGAACTTGGTAGATGAATGAGCCGCGAAATGCTACATATGATACATTTTGCAGTGTATCTAAATCACGGCGCTGGCATCTGTCTGCACCCCATGCATTCTGTGTTGTCTATAATTACTTAAAGAACACTATTATGAACACATGCGGTTGTTTTTTTATCAATTAAATCAAGGGGTTAATAATCGACCCCAAAGTGGTTCACTGTTCCCAATGCATTCCACTCAGAAGATCATTCATGCGATACAGAAGATAACATAGGACATGACAGCTTTGCCGTGACCAGTTAGTGTCTGTAAGGTTACACAGGTGGTTTCACAGCTGGATATATAAGCTTCTCAGACTGAGTGATTCACAGAGTGTCAGACAGCAGGGTGGCCCCGTGATTGGAGACAAGGTCGAGAGTCTGATCTGCTCAAGAGCTAGTGTGAATTCATCATGTATTCTGTCACGGTGTCCTTGAGGTGGATATCCACAATTCTTCACTTGTTCAGAGCATCAGAACACCTTTGAAGACACATATAGACACCGCCAATTTTTAGCCGATGGAACACAACATGTTGTTAGTAACTTCCCGTAACAGAAGCTAACATATCAGACGGATGCGTCATCACCCCCTCGCTCTGGGACTCTCCCTCCCACTGTGACGATTTTCACACAAACACCTTCCCTTTTTTCTCAGGAACATGTCATACACACAGTCTTCTGACCTTTTTCACAGTCTATCAACATGCGTCCCGATTCCAAGTTGTATCTCAAATGTGATTTACCAATGTTTCATAATGCTTTTATTCCCCGGAAAATCAGCGTCCAGTATTCACCAGGAAATTAAATGACACAGCCTCTGTTGGGAAATAAATCACAAACCTTATATCTGCCTAGATATTAAAAGCATTGGATTTCCACAGTCTCCTATATTGGAAGCCAAATCCGCTCATAGCCATATTCTGCCATTCAGAAGGAAATAATAACTGTTTTGTTTGGCAAAGTGATTGCAAAAAATGTCATCTTGACATTGTGGAAAATGGATTCTGTAACCATATGATTCTGGTAAAAATAAATGCCAAATATATTACATCTGGAGAGATTTTAGCTTTGTTAAATATGATCAAGGACTGTGTACTAAAACATTTTTGGGATAAAGGTCTAATGGGGGTTTCATCCACTGC